GCCACGGACCTGGATTGAACTTGTCAGCTTCTGAGTGACGAGTCCATTCATTGTCATCGCGGGGAAACGGAACGAGGAACGGGCACACTCCCGACGAATATCGACAAACTTTCCGCGATTCTTAAACCCAACGTCGTTACCTTCACCACTACCATCATCACCACCACCACCAGATTAGTCAATATCACTGCAGCCTTGACATGAAAGCGATGTGTATAACACTGGTCAACACACTTTTTTCTGGCATAAGGTATTCCAACGGTTATAAGGTAATTTTGGGGTGCTGATTCCAAATCTGGCATCAGTTTTTGTCTATCACGTCAGGTTTTTGAGATATCAAATATTGCATTTTCAATAAAAACTGCAGAAGAAAAATATTAACTAAATGTGGATATCTACATAAAATGATATTATAAACACACCATCCTAAAAATACAGCACCATATTTTAACACTAAAGCAGTCACTGACTCGCAAAAACTTGCAATCATAAGTGACAGAGTTAATTCGGGTAAAATGAATGAAAACGGGGTATGCCGATAGCATAAAATGAGATGTGATAGAGCAAATCTGAGATCAGATTTGGAATCAGCACCCTGAAATTAGTCTAGAAACAGCTGCAAAAGTCCAGGCCAGAATTGTTTTTTGTTGACCAGTGTAATAGGTGTGCAAGTGGCCTGTTCTTCGTACAGCACAAGTAGACATGGCAGAGAGATAGAAAGTGAATCATCAGAATCGTTATGTAGACTGCTGGAGGAATCCGATGAGCTATGAAGTTCTTTTTCACAGATGTCCAGTAAAGGGCACGGAGGTCAGAACGTTCCAACAACAAAAATGAAAAAAAAAACACGATGAAAAGTGCAACGCATAGCAAAGGTAAACAAGTCACTGTGAAAAAAATATATATATACAAGTAAAACTAAACTATATTTTATCTGACGGGGTGAGGCCCACTGAGCAATTAGCTTCTTATTCTTGGTTCTTTCGGTAAAGTCACGTAGAAGGGAAATAATAAAGTAATAAAAATATAAAACAATAAAATTGTTAAATTTCGATTTGAAGCTTTCGTGACTGCAGGGATTCATCTTCTTGGTTCTTTCGGTAAAGTCACGTAGAAGGGAAATAATAAAATAATAGAAATAAAACATAATTAAATAATTCTCACGACGTTTCGGCCACAACGCAAGTAGCCGTCCTCAGGTGGAGAACAGGTCTGAGAATTATTTTATTATGTTTTATTTTTATTATTTTATTACTTCCCTTCTACGTGACTTTACCGAAAGAACCAAGAAAAACATTGTTCTTTTTAATTGTTTTGTTTGTTTTATATTTTTATTATTTATTATTTTATTATTTCTCTTCTACGTGACTTTACCGAAAGAACAAATAATATGAATCCCTGCAGTCACGAAATCTTTACATCAAAATGAGCTTCTTATTCAGACGTGAGCTGCCCCACAAACGACAGCTGCGGTAAGTGGCCCGTTACGTGGAAATCCACAGCGGCAGGAATAACCTCAACAATCTCGACGTCCTGATTCCAAGTGAATAATAGTCGCCAGGCTGCACTATTCACCATGGGGGCCCTGATAAGAATTCACGTCGTGAAAGAAGAAGAAAAAAGGTCTCCAGGCATATTGGGGGAGCGGCGAAACGTACGATGTGAACCCACCGAACTCGCCTCCACCGTGGCAATTAAAGATGCCTGGGAACACAACGCCGCGTTTGCTGGGAAATTCGTTATCTGTTGTGGAGACCAAACCAGTTTAACTTCATAATACGTCTTTATTTAATATATAGATGTACATACAGCGTCTGTGGGGGTTCGGTTTGTGCGATTTCGCCCTGTACTGTGCATGTGGCGAACCTATTTCTACCTAAAATTCGCTCCACTATGCGGGTTGAATTCACTCTGCATGCGGCTATGCGGTCGGACGTGGGACAAAAATATGTGTGTGTGTACTGTGTGTGTGTACTGTGTGTGTACTGTGTGTACTGTGCGTACTGTGTGTACTGTGAGTACTCTGTGTACCGTGTGTGTACTGTGTGTGTGTACTGTGTGTGTACTGTGTGTGTATTATGTGTACTGTGTATGTACTATATGTGTACTGTGTGTACTGGATGTACTGTCTGTACTGTGTGTACTGTGTGTGTATACTATATATCTACTGTGTGTACTGTATGTACTTGATGTACTGTGTGTACTGTGTGTACTGGATGTACTGTGTGTACTGTGTGTATACTATATATCTACTGTGTGTACTGTATGTACTTGATGTACTGTGTGTACTGTGTGTACTGGATGTACTGCGTGTACTGTGTGTACTGTGTGTGTATACTATATATGTACTGCGTGTACTGTGTGCGCGCTACTCGGTAGGCAGCTGTCTCCTCGTGCGTGTTTCGCTTTGCGTGGTCCCCCTTGTTTTGGAACGCATCTACTACTACTACGACCGCACAGAGGAGCGAGGGATACACCTTGTACACTGCACACAGCCGCTTCAGGGCAAGGCCAACCCTTACAGGCGAGTTCGCATCTGAGACCCGTTGACATCTTGAGAGCTCCGTGACATTAGAGTGGGCCCTGGACTGGGATGGCGGCTTTCGAACAAATAGTCGAGCGGCCATTTTGCCGAGAAGTGAGCTCGGTCGGTGGCGAGGGTGGTGACCTTCATGGCTTTGCAGAAATTGAATTTTGGAAAGATCATTAACCTTTAAACGAAGGTGTGGCTGGGGGTGGGGGGGAGGGAGGAAATGGGTGTTGGGGGGGGGAATAAAACTTCGGACCCAAATGCTGGCAAGCAAAGTCATTAGGCGCGATGGCGTCTTAGAGGTCCTTTCTGCGCGGCGAATTTACGGCGCGAGGAGGGTTCCAGCCCCCCCCACCCCCCCTCGTGATTCGCGGGGAGCCACAGAACAACCCTAATTCATGGTTTTCATTATCACCTTGATCCACGAGCCGCCCACCAAACACAAAGGCAGCGTCTAGGACGGGTGTGTGTGTGGGGGGGGGGTGGAGGATTTACGCTCAAATTTCTTTCCGTCTGCTTTCTTTACGACGGCAGCGAGGGGCTTAATTAGCCCGGCAGCCTTTAGATCGCAGGATGGGGGAGTGGGGAAGCGTGGTGGTGGTGGGGTAGGAGAATGCGAGGTAGAGGAATCACGGTACGTCGGTTGGTGATGAGTCCCCCGAGGCGAAATGGGAGGAGGTTTTGAGGTTTTATTTTGAGTGTCCGCCAGAGTTATTTCGAAGTCACTCAAGGGGAGGAGGGGTTGGGGTGGGGGGTGCGAGGAGGATGTGGCGGAGGGAGGGGGGTGGATGTCTCTGTTGGAATATTGAATATCGGAAGATGATCGTTAAGCGCTGAGCATTTCACCTCTTACGGTTATTCGATCCACTTCAGAGCCATATATTGAACCAGCTAACTCGTTTACGGCTCCCTTATAATTGCAAGCGCTGTAATAATTTCCCGTGATTTTTGTTTTACGGTAACAATATATTTTTTTTGTTACACTCACAAAACGTGGCATTATAAAAACGGGTTGTCTTTTGGCGTCGGATAAGCCGAGCCATTTTTATTATGTAAAGAGTTGTGCGCGCGCTGTGTTGTGCGCTTTCATAGTGCGTGTGTGTGGTGTGTGTGTGGGCAAAGTGTGTGTTGAGTGTGGCTATATTGTAACTGTGCAGTGGAGTTGTTATAACGATGCAATGTTAACTACCTCGCCTCGCATACAGGAGGCCGTGGGTTCGATCCCGGCTGTATATTTGGAGCTTGCATATCTCTCTCCCCGTGGTCACGTGTATTTTTCTCCGGGTCTTCCGGTTTTTCCCTTCACATTTAGAAACATGTATTTAGAGTATTTGGTTGACATAAATGTCCACATGAGACACTTCGTTGAGCTCTCATTGTGGACAGGTCGCTTCTCAATGAAAGCTGTATAGCTCAGCGGGCCTTACCTGGTGAAATAAAACTAAACAGTTGATAGCATTCATTTCAGGAGGGATGATGAATTGGAATATTCGTCCAAATCCGTGAGTGAGGAAGGTTTGTGTAATCTGGGGAAAATCCACATGCACAAGGGGCATAACAATCATAGCTTCACGCAGATAGGTGCAATAATCCACTATTTGTACTGGCATCTAGAAGTCGAGGTATATAGCACATTGGTATGATGTGTGTGTGTATGAGGATATATTACCTGTCTGGGCGTCGTGTGTGTGTGGATGTGAAGGGAAGCGGTAGTGCAGCGGTTAGCGCGCTGCGCTACAAACCCGGCGACCCAGGCTCGATTCTCACTCACGGCCAAGACCAGTGACGATTATCTGAACCGATCCTGGGCCTCCCCCAGGTCGACTCAGCCTCAAATGAGTACCTGGCGCGGTGTGTAAACGTCGCCACTGGGGAGTCAAAGGAAGCCGAGCGTGGTGCTGGCCACCCACCCCCCTCGTGACCTCTGTGGCTTCTTGGAGTGACCTCTTCACCTCTGACTTCTTGGGGGAGTGAACTCTTGACTTCTGTGACGTCTTAGAGGTGTGACCTCGTGACCTCTGTGACGTCTTGGAGGTGTGACCTCGTGACCTCTGTGATGTCTTGGAGGAGTGACCTCGTAATCTCTGTGACTTCTTGGAGGAGTGACCTCTTGACCTCTGTGACGTCTTGGAGGTGTGACCTCGTGACTTCTGTGACGTCTTGGAGGAGTGACCTCGTGACCTCTGTGACGTCTTGGAGGTGTGACCTCGTGACTTCTGTGACTTCTTATAGGAGTGACCTCGTGACCTCTGCGACTTTTTGGAGCAGTGACCTTTGACTTTTTGGAGGAGTGAACTATTGACCTCTGACTTCTTGGAGGAGTGACCTCGTGACTTCTGTGACTTCTTATAGGAGTGACCTCGTGACTTCTGTGACTTCCTGGAGGAGTGACCTCTTGACCTTTGTGACTTGTTGGACCCGTGACCCCCCCCCCGCCCCCGTACCTTCCCCCCCCCCCCCCCCCCCCCAGACAAAAAGCTGCGCTGCTCGGTGTCGCTGGCTTGCTGCCAGGTGAAGCAGCGTGAGGATTGTCACCAGGAGCGCTGCTGCTTTCAGCTGGTGGCACGGGACAAGACGTCGCACGAGGTACTGACACCCCACCGCTCCCTCCTACAGAGGGCCGGCGGCTAGGAGAGCACTGACAGAAAGCAACTAATCAGGCCACACAAGGGTGGTGTGACCAGCACCATACCGGTGTGAACACACACACACACACTCACCATACCGGTGTGAACACACACACACTCACCATACCGTGTGAACACACACACACACCATACCGGTGTGTAACACACACACCACCATACCGGTGTGTACACACACACACACCATACCGGTGTGTACACACACACACACCATACCGGTGTGTACACACACACACACACACCATACCAGTGTGAACACACACACACACTCACCATACCAGTGTGAACACACACACTCACCATACCGATGTGAACACACACACACTCACCATACCGTGTGAACACACACACACACCATACCGTGTGAACACACACACTCACCATACCGGTGTGAACACACACACACACTCACCATACCGATGTGAACACACACACACACTCACCATACCGTGTGTACACACACACACTCACCATACCGTGTGAACACACACACACACTCACCATACCGGTGTGAACACACACAAACACTCACCATACCGATGTGAACACACACACACACTCACCATACCGTGTGTACACACACACACTCACCATACCGGTGTGAACACACACACACTCACCATACCGGTGTGAACACACACACACTCACCATACCGGTGTGAACACACACACACACACCATACCGGTGTGAACACACACACACACTCACCATACCGGTGTGAACACACACACACTCACCATACCGTGTGAACACACACACACTCACCATACCGATGTGTACACACACACTCACCATACCGATGTGAACACACACACACACTCACCATACCGGTGTGAACACACACACACTCACCATACCGGTGTGAACACACACACACTCACCATACCGGTGTGAACACACACACACTCACCATACCGGTGTGAACACACACACACACACCATACCGATGTGAACACACACACTCACCATACCGGTGTGAACACACACACACACTCACCATACCGGTGTGAACACACACACTCACCATACCGATGTGTACACACACACTCACCATACCGGTGTGAACACACACACTCACCATACCGGTGTGAACACACACACACACTCACCATACCGGTGTGAACACACACACTCACCATACCGTGTGAACACACACACACTCACCATACCGATGTAAACACACACACACTCACCATACCGATGTGAACACACACACACACTCACCATACCGGTGTGAACACACACACACACCATACCGTGTGAACACACACACACACCATACCGGTGTGAACACACACACACTCACTCACCATACCGATGTGAACACACACACACACTCACCATACCGTGTGAACACACACACCATACCGTGTGAACACACACACACTCACCATACCGTGTGAACACACACACACTCACCATACCGTGTGCACACACACACACTCACCATACCGTGTGAACACACACACACACTCACCATACCGATGTGAACACACACACTCACCATACCGTGTGAACACACACACACACATCAGGTACTCAGCGGCCAAATCAGCCAAGGTTGTTAGCAGAGGGTATGCCTACCAGAATCAGAATATTTGGTTTGAATCTGACCGTCTGTGATTCAACCGTGATCTCAAGTGTATCGAGTGCAGATACATTCTAGCTCCGAGGATGAAAGCTGTCGCTTTGACCGGCAGGCGATGGACATTTCTCCGCGATGTTATAGGTCTACTCCAGAATCAGAATCTCTCTTTATACCGGAGGAATCCGCTGAGCTGTGAAGATCCCTTTCGCAGATGTCCAGTCGTTTTCAGCGGTGTCCAAGCAGCGTGGTAATTTAATCGCCGCTCGCCTCCGATGGTTTGTAGCATTGCTTGCACAGAGGCCGGGGCTGTGGGAATCGAACCTATGTCTGGTGCCGGGACTTGCGACAGCGGCCGGGGAAACCGCCGACGCGGCTTCCTCTCTTTCCTCTCTCTTTTTTATGATCAGAGGAACCAAGAAGATGCTCGGTGTAGTCGGCAATTTGCTTCGTTCATCATTTCGATTTTTTTTTCAATGTTTTGCTTTATGTGCCCCCCCCCTCCCCCCCCTTTTTTAAATGAAAGATTTCACGAAAAATTTCTCGCTTTACTCTCCTCATTCTTACCCCTTCCCCCTCTCTCTCTACCCCCCCCCCCTCTCTCTACCCCCTCTCTCTCTCTCTACCCCCTCTCTCTTTATCCCCTTTATTTCTACCCCCTCTCTCTCTACCTCCCCCCTCTCTCTCTACCCTCTCTCTCTACCCCTTCTCTCTCTACCTCCTCTCTCTCTACCCTCCTCTCTACCCCCCCTCTCTCTCTACCCCCTCTCTCTCTACCCCCCCTCTCTCTACTACCCCCCCCTCTCTCTACCCCCCTCTCTCTCTACCCCCTCTCTCTCTACCCCCTCTCTCTCTACCCCCTCTCTCTCTACCCCCTCTCTCTACCCCCTCTCTCTACCCCCCTCTCTCTCTACCCCCTCTCTCTCTACCCCCTCTCTCTCTACCCCCTCTCTCTACCCCTCTCTCTCTACCCCCCCTCTCTCTCTACCCCCCCCCTCTCTCTCTACCCCCCCTCTCTCTCTACCCCCTTTCTCTCTACCCCTTCTCTCTCTACCCCTTCTCTCTCTACCCCCCCTCTCTCTCTACCCCCTCTCTCTCTACCCCCCCTCTCTCTACCCCCCCCTCTCTCTCTACCCCCTCTCTCTCTCACCCCCTCTCTCTCTACCCCCTCTCTCTCTACCCCCTCTCTCTCTCTACCCCCCCCTCTCTCTCTACCCCCTCCTCTACCCCCTCTCTCTCTATCCCCTCTCTCTCTACCCCCTCTCTCTCTATCCCCTCTCTCTCTACCCCCCCTCTCTCTACCCCCTCTCTCTACCCCCTCTCTCTATCCCCCTCTCTCTACCCCCCCTCCTCTACCCCCTCTCTCTCTACCCCCTCTCTCTCTACCCCCCTCTCTCTCTACCCCCCTCTCTCTACCCCCTCTCTCTCTACCCCCCTGTCTACCCTCTCTCTACCCCCCCTCTCTCTACCCCCCTCTCTCTACCCCCTCTCTCTCTACCCCCTCTCTCTCTACCCCCCTCTCTCTACCCCCTCTCTCTACCCCCCTCTCTCCTACCCCCCCTCTCTCTACCCCCTCTCTCTCTACCCCCCTCTCTACCCCCCTCTCTCTCTACCCCTCTCTCTACCCCCCTCTATCTCTACCCCCTCTCTCTACCCACCCCTCTCCTCTACCCCCCTCTCTCTACCCCCTCCTCTCTAATCCCCTCTCTCTCTAACGCCCTCTCTCTCTACCCCCCTCTCTCTCTACCCCCTCTCTCTAACCCACCACCCCTCTCTCTAACCCCCCTCTCTCTCTACCCCCTCTCTCTCTACCCCCTCTCTCTACCCCCCCCCTCTCTCTCTAACCACCCTCTCTCTATACCCCCTCCTCTCTCTAAACCCCTCTCTCTCTACCCCCTCTTCTCTACCACCCTCTCCTCTCGACTCTCTCCCACTCTCTCTACCACCCTCTCTCTCTACCCCCCTTCTCTCTCTAACCCCCCTCTCCTCTCTACCCCCCTCTCTCTCTAACCCCCCCCCCCCATCTCTTCTACCCCCTCTCTCTCTCTCTACTACTCCCCCTCTCTCTACCCCTTCTCTCTACCCCCTCTCTCTCTACCCCCTCTCTCTCTACCCCCTCTCTCTCCTCTCTCCCTCCGAGCCCTCAGCCGGGGGGCTCCCCCGTGAGTGAGTGAGTGATGGGCGAGACACGCGCCTCTTGCATCTGGCGCTCATCAGCGTGCAGATGCGGTGGCCTCGCATTTTAATCACGGGGCTCGAGTCATTTGTTGCCGAATTCATAATTCATCAGCCTCTGGTTTTTTTGCTAATTTGAAGCAGATTGTCGCACCCCCCCCCCCACCGCCACCCCCCCTCCCCCCCTTTGACATGCGCAAATAAATAAGTAAATAATAATAATAATAAAGCCGGTCGCTCTGCGAATTACGGAACGAAAGACGTCCGTCCAGTGGAGCGTTAGGCCTCGAGATGTGTCTTGGTGCCCGCGTTCAGACGGGACTAAACTCGCACAAACATCGGCGAATCTCAGCGCACCGATGGGTTGATGAATTACCTCTGTTCGAAACGGGGGGTGGGGATGGGGGGGTGACAAGGTCGTTGGGAGACAAGGTGGTGGTGGTGGTGGTGGCATCCGTGCGTCGCGATCGTTACTCGGATTTCCGTGCGGGTGAATCTGAATGCGACCCACATCTCTCGACTCGTTGTACTACCGTCGTGTTTCTTGTTGTTGTTGATTGTTGTTGTTGATTGTTGTTGATTGTTGTTGTTGTAACTTTCCGCACCCGTGTCTTGCTGGACATCTGTGGGGGAAAAAGCTTTTCACCTCATCGGATTCCGCCAGTGTCAATGAATATTCAGATGATAATTGGTTCTTTACCCTTCTATCTGGCCAGATAGAAGGGTAAAGAACCAATTATCATATTTTTACTGGCAAATGAGGTCCCCATAGAATATTCAAATGTTTTCTTTAATTCTGAAAACTCGCACGCAGCTTCGCGGTGAACGTGTTTTGTGTTTAGACAGGAGGAGGTGGAGGAGGAGGCATCGGTCGTAGGCAGAGGGTAAAGGGGATGTTCTTGTGCCTTGGATTTGAACAGAGGGGACAGGGAGCCGACATCACCGGCAGCTGGAGGGGGGAGGGAATTTTAACGTGTTGATGGGAACATTGTTTCCGAAAACGGAATTGGGAATATCTCCAGAGTGGAAAGGAAGCCATGCTTGGGAGGGTGGCGGTGGGGGTGGAAAATATCGACAAAAGCCACCGTATAGGTGTTGCATTTGTCAGCGTTACTGCGGTGAAGCAGCAGCTCCCTGAATTAGGGTCCCAGGAAGTGTAGCGAAACGTCGGACGTCGTGC